TTTTCCATTTCTTCCGCTTATGTACGTTCACAAGTTGCCGAATCTCCGAGTTGGGATCCCTGATACGGGGATTTCCAGGATCGGCCTGATGAAGGTTGTCGCGCTCAGCGGCTAGGACAGCCGCTTCAGCAGAAAAATTCGGACGGGGGTCCGAGATGCATCCCGCTGGGATGAAGCGGGCTGCTGCAGCAGTGACAACCCTGCCGAATTTACGCTCACCTACGTGAACGTCGGTTGGTGTTGGTAGTGCAGCAAAGGCGCTTTCAGTAACATCCGCGAAGCCTTCCAATCAGCTTTGAATACAAAAGATCGTGCTGCGCATTGAAGTCACCAACTGCCATGTGGTTTTCACCTCTGAGGAGCGCACCTATTTCAGGGTGATATCCTGCCGGGCAGCTGGTGGCTATATACACTCTATATACGTTAAATATTTCGGGCTCGACATCGCCTGGCCGGATGGCAATATCCTGACATTCTAGGATGGTATCCTTGCGGTCGATGTCTGTTTCGATAAGACGATACTGCACGGTGTGTTCATGATGAACGCTAGGCCACCACCATTATCTCGCTCGCGATCTCGACGGTGCACGTTGCATCCGGCGCAATTAAACAATGTTGAATTGCTGTGCGGCTTCGTCTCTTGGACCGCAGCTATTAATCAGCCCTATTCTGCATTTCGATTACGTTCCCGCATTACGCTCCGCAAGACTCGAAATTAGGTATTCTGCGTTACGATCGAATCGAAAGAGGAAGAGAGAAGGCATCTTTCGAAATCAGCTGTTTGCCTAGGGATGTGTGAAATCGAAACAAAACAAAGAAATATTGGCCAAAAAACTATAACAGCTTATGAAGTTGGAGTTTGTAAATATTTTAAAATAACTAAATATATCTAGCATCACTGTAATTAAAAAATAAAATTTCGTTTGCTCTTAATTTAAGTGGAAACATAACTAAAAGAATGAAATCCATAGCCGCGGCGTTATTGCTTGAAGAGAAGGACGAGTCCCAGAATGCTGATGCGGAAGTTGAAAGGCGGAGATTTAGGGACATGTTTGATCCTTCTTAGATGAGTGAAGAGTAATAAGAAATTCATCTTGGACTGTATTACTCATCGCTCAAATCCAGTGAAATTATAAACGTTTGAGCTCTCCACAACATTTGCGTTTACTACAGAGAGAAAGATTTGAACGCAAATGAATTCCATTTTGAAAGCCGTCAGGAGGAGGGGAAGAACAAAGCGTATCCTTCCATAGCAAATCGAATTCGAGACAACATATATACCTATTTTTAAAAAGTTAGTAAAAACGAATGCAATAATAAAAACATCTTTTTTATGTAACTTCACATTATATGTATGTATGTATGTATGTACATATGTACATCTATTAATTTTATACAGAACGAATATTAACGAGAATTGTATTCAGTGCATTTCACAGTCTTATTTAAAGATAATGAAAACAAAAACGCCTGGCCTTCCTCTTTGAAAACTCGCGCAATATCCCTATTGGTTGCCATTATTTGAGCCAATTTTTCGTATTGCCCGTATTACCGCTCGCGAAAACACAGAAATCGTGAAAATTCATTTATGATGACTTTTACAATCATGCACAGTATATTTTACTTAATTTTTTCAGCAAATTTGCAACTTAGAAAAACGGAACTACGATCGAACTGTAGAATAGGTATAATCGTAAATTTCAAAGATTGATCGAAAGGAAACGGAACGCAGAATACCAAAGTTGCCAAACGGAGAAATTTTCGATTCGAGTCGAAATGCAGAATAGAGCTGAATATATGTCTGGGAAGTTGGCATACGGTATGACGCAAAGCAAAAAAAAAGTTGTTCTGAGTAGCCTTCCAATAGTTCTAAAGTTCTTGAAAAGGGAAAAAAAGTTCGGGATATTTTCACAAAAAAAAAATTGATTTGAAAATTGGGTATGCCAGTTTCACGCAGCATACGACACACTATGGGCTAAATCACATTTTTTTTGTTTAATATCTAATATAACGAGAAGGAAAAGAGCTAGCGCAATAATTTTTTGTG